AGGGCATGGCGCGGCTTAGCATAGGACGAGCAGAGCAGCTCACGCTTTCGTGAAGGTGTTTGATTGGTGAAATCAGAGAAGACTGCAAGACGCGACTGATGACAGCCTGCAGAGCTGGTGCTACAGGATGTAATGTGATGAAGTGTGTGGTGTAGTGAGAGCAGTTTATTAGGTGAGCTTAAAAAGATCCTGGGTCCCCTGTATTACTCAGGCTGCACCTACCACGCGTCCTATATCGACAGCGCCGATCAAACACATACTCGAGCGGCCGGGGCTATCTTGACCTGCTCCGTTTCCCGCACCTTGGCCGGCTGCCAGACCCCTCCTCTAGCACACCTGCGTGGTCACCGGGCCCCCCACGGAACACATATCAGATAACCGAATTAGTGCGGACACCCCGACTCGGCCACCCACCAAGATAAAAAGTTCCCGCCCTGGCCGGCAAGGCCCTTCTCCAGAAACAGGCTCCTCTGGAGGACACCTGCAACTACATCAACCACACTCAACACTCCTCATCGTGTCCTGCAGGTGGAGCCAAACATCACAAATAGTTTGTGTGTCAGTCCTGGTCCAGTTTATAACTTCTACAGTGTGATGTAAAAACTCAGTGCTCATACACTGAGAATGGACTTTACAGTAAAGTAGGAGACATCTTGTGTCCAACAGGAAAACTTTGGAAATTATTTCATTATTTATTAAATTTTCATAGAGTTTGTAATTTTATATGAACATATAGGAAACCTTTTTATGAGGATTTTAATGTGGGAAATATACTTTTTTTGCAGACGAGTATTATTATTGTTTCTGGAAGATCATTCCAGCATTGCCTTCACAAAACTTGTGCTGTTTGTTGTGATTTGAGCTGAACAAAATATACAGAGCTAACAAGAAGTCACAATAACAGTAAGGCAAACAGAGGTGCTGATGTTTTTAAAAGCATGGATTTCAAAAACACACAGTATGCATATACCCAATACACCGCATGCCAATATTTATCAAGTGTATATGCATATGCATGCAATATTTAAAAGTTCAGAACATTTAGGAGGATCTACAGTATTAGCAGAAATTAACTATAATATTTATAGGAATGTTTTTATTAGTGTATAATCATCTGAAAATAAGACATGTTGTTTTTTGTGAACTCAGAATGAAACATTTTTATCTACAGTCCACCATGTTGAACCACCATATATCGACAGTAGCCCACTATAGTTTCTCCCCTGTGCTTTACGTTTACGTTTAAAATCCACAAACTTGTTTTCACTGAACACATTTTTAATATATTAGTTTATAAAAAATCAACAATATAAAAAGGTACACTTCACATTCAGAAACAAACACACTAATAATCAGTTAACTAAAAACTAGTAATTTACCTAATTCCTATTCTTAAAAGACAACTTTTACTGCTTTTCAAGAGTTTCTTTACATTCTGTGATGGTCTGTCCAGATGCAGGACAGTACCACTTTCCTTTCACCTGTGTGTGGCCGGTGATTTTGTTTTTGGAATGACCACATATTTTACACTGATAACGGTAGTCCTCTTTGCAATGCCGCTTTTTTGGAGGCTCACCTCTTGCCACACGCTCCTGGTCTTCAAGTGCGGACTTTTCCTTTCTCCATTTTCTGCGGCCATTCAAGTGGACAGGAGATGGGGCCGGTGGCAGAGGACCCTGCTGGTATGAGGAGGGGGCAGAAGAACCAGGCCATGCATATGACCCAAGAAGACAGTGCTGAGCCAGTTCTGACGCTGTGGCGCAGACGTATCACTGCTTCGCCTTCCCGGTTTTCTGGCTCCTGGAACTCCATTACTGCATGACCATATTCCTTGGCTGCAGAAGGAAGCTCTCTTGCTTTTAGCAGGTAATCCTTAGCATCAGAGACCTTCTGGGGAAGCTGTACTCCTTGCAGCAATGAGTCCCGGTCAGTCCTGTTCTGTCTTTTATGCAACCTGGGAAAATACAAGATGTTTACCATTTCAGACGAGCACTATAGCAAAGGTTGTATTGTAGC